GGACCGGTGACACAGAGGTCTTGAGGGTTATTTCCATTGCCAGTGGAAGCCTGTTTGAGACACGCTGAAAATCCGGAGTCATGGTGATAAAACTTGGTCTGAGCAATTTGAACACGGAAATTCTCTGACTTGGGAGGAAATCCAGATTCGTAGAGTTGGTTCTCTATAAAGCCAACCTATTTGTCCCTTCAGACCTGTGCCGTAGTCATGACACAGCAGCAGTTCTGCACTGGCTGCTCTACAGCCTGGAGCCAGCCGGCTGGTTCAATAGAACTGCTCCTTCTTAGAGCACTTCCACCCTTTCTTCTGACTCGTGTACAAAAAAACCCAAATAAATGTGTGTTGAATCGGCTAAAGACAGACCCCTTCTGTGTAGCCAGAAGAAGGGTACAGTTATAGATAAAAACCTAACTTTTAGCATTTCCCAACTGGTAAAGGCTTGACTTTGCATACCTCTGGTGTGCATCTGTCGCCCATCTGTCATCTATACAGGAAAGCTTTCAAATATTTTTACTGCTATCTGTTTTTGTGACTTTAGGTTCATATGTTATATATTGCAAAGGAGGAGAATCACAGCTTTACTGTAATGAATACAGACACATATAACATATGTGTGGGTGTATCTGCACACATATGATTAGGGCTGTGCTCTAAATATTGCAGTTGGAAACTGTTACTGCCAGGAAGAGTCAAAATACTGGATAAGCATTTGGGATAGACGTATTTAAATTTGACAAGCAAAATATTCCTAATGTTTCTGATCAGTGTATGATACCTGCTGAGTGCTCAGTGTTCTTCCAAAAAGATGCTGAGAGTCAAAGGTCCATCTGGACAGAATCCAGTTTAAAAACAAACAAACAAACAAAACAAAAACCAGGAGGTTACTTTCAATTTTCAGTTGAAAAAAAAAAAGTTACAGTTTGCTCCAATGTTCTTCTAATCAGAAATGATTATTAATAACTGTAGGGAAGGTAATGTATAGCCACATCCAATAACTGTTTGCTTACTGGAAGGAATTAAGAGAACTCTCTTACACTTCCGTCATCTGTTGACACACAAGAAAACTTTGTGATTTCATGATTTTTCTTTTTCTTCTGGTGCTTTGTTTTGTTGTGTATTTTTTTTAATCTGATCCCAGCTACGTAATTCTTTAGTTTTAACAGGCTTTGGCTCGTGAAGTTTTTTTGTTGAGGTTAAAAGCTTGACCAAAGGGAGAGCTGGAGATCCACCACGTTCAGTTCTCCGAGCTTGGTGCCAATCCTGTTCACAGGATGAGTTTAGCCAGTTTTTCACTGAGCGCGCTCAGGTGATAAATAGGTTTTTGAAGAGCTCGTTACAGAGTTGTTTAGATTTCAAAGTGTTTCTGTCCTGTAGCACCACCTCCTTCATTTTTATTTATGCTGATGCTGTAGTATCTTTCTCCTCTCTTTTTCTTTTGATTACAGTTTTTGTACTTGGCAGCTATTCTTGCACTGCCGTCTTCAACACTTGGAGCACACTCCCTCCTTGCCCCCTTCGTTTCCAGACTTTGTTTTTTGGGTCCTGGGAGGCAGAAGGGTCAAAGCACGTGGCCCTGATACAAAGCTGTTTTCCAAGCTTCTAAAAATCTCTCTCTATTGCACAGAAAAAAAAGCTTCAACATCAATGCGGACCTTTCTTTTTCTGTTGTCAATAGCTCTGCTGGACAGAAATCTATCATTCACACAGGGCCTTTGCTTTGAAATTCAATTAGTTTCCCCGCCAGTATCTCCTTAAGACAGTTTAAAGGAAAATTAGAAAAATACCACACAGCCACCTTTCACAGTGATTAAGTCGTGTCATACTTTATGCTCATTTCTTCAAATGGTTTTATTAACACAAGCTGGTTTTACATTGGGATTCCGATCCGCGTTATAAATCTTTCTCCGTTTAATCGACTAATTTTTCCTCTATGCTTTCTATGTCAATTGAATGGCAATTTTGCACAGACAAGGCTTCAAACTTTTTTCGAACTTTCCGTCCGCCGTATACCTGATCTTCTAGTCCAGCCTAGCTGGCTCTGAGAGATGCCTTTTAGCTGACAAAATAGAAAAGCCACGGTTGCTGTAGTCACTCGTGGGCCAGCGAGATAGTGCATCAACCACTTTATCCACCAATCTCCGCTTCACATAAAATAAACATACTGGGTGTCATTAAGTGCACCTTCAGATCAATGATTTTTGCAAATGACATTCAAGTACCATTCGAGTAGTGCATTTTTGCTGATAAAAGCAAATTAAATTAGCACAACTACAAGTGTGCTGATAAAAACTAAAACCGAACAGCAGCACCATTAGCTAACAAAGTAATATTTTCTCTTTACTGCTTTCTGCCATTTAGTTATTATCCTATTGGAAATCTAATTATAATCCTTTTACTCCCTAGTCAAACTTCACAGTTTTTGCAAGCTTAGCACTGACAAGTGATTTCATTACATTTGATTGCCCGCGCCCAGATTGACTTAACTTCACTCCGAGACCTAAAAGCCCTCTCAGTTTCTCAGATTCCCTGTTTGCACATTACAGCAACAGCTCCTTTAATTAATTAGCATGAACAGCAGTAACATGAACTGCTGAACAGAAAATAACATCATTTTATGATCGCGGGGAGACTTCTCCTTTTGCATGTTTATACCTTAGTTAACTTTGGTATTACTATATTTCATTGTTAGGGGATATTGGAACAATCGGCAGAGCAATGTTATCTTAAAATTTTTTAAAATAGATGTTACCGTAATACTTGATGGTAACACTTTACAAAAAATAAGAAACTCTAAATTTTAAGTAGGAGGCAGCAGCGTAGGCAGACCAGACTTTCCTGAGGTGAGAAGGAAATGTGTGTCGGTGTACCTGCAACAGGAGGAATAGTCAGGGCAGCTGCTGCTGCTTTGGCTTGTGAAATAACCTGGAAGAGCACAAAAACTCTCAGCAGCCATGAAGAACTTATTATCCATTTGCCAAAGGACTGTTGAAGTTTGGAATTTGGGTTTGGGGTATCATTCTTTAGAAAACTATTTTTCCCCCCAGTATTCTGATATAACCAGTCAGTTTTCGAATCCAACCTATGGTAAAAAGGATGCCAAGGAGGGACAGAAAAAAAGGTTTTTAGGAGGTCTGACAGCTTTGTTCTGTGTCAAATTATGCTCGAAATGCTGCAATCCACTGACCCCAGCCACGGTGTGGAATTTCAGAGCACTCTGCAGCTGTAACAGACAAATTCAACATCTTGGAAGTTACGATGTAATTGTCTTGGTCTTGTTTTCACGGAAAATAATGTTCTAGCACTTAAAGTTTTGCGTAAGAAAAGACGAGAACCCTGTGATTAGAAACCCTTGAGATCAAACTAAGCTGGTAATTTCCTTGTGAGTTGTTCTCATTTGAGTCTTGGGCCTTTTCTTCTTCCCTCTGTCCCAGTCGTGCTCTGTCCCTCGTGCGTGTCCTGCTCCAGATGCTCAGAATTATTAAACCTCTCCTATTTACCTTGTGCTGGGTCATATTGCAGTGTGCCTAGAAAACTCTTCCGCAGTTTGTGTGCAGTTACCAGCCTGCAATACCCATGCAGACACAGGCACATATGAGTGAGGAAGCTGAGATTTTTGTGGTTTATTGGAAACTAAAGGTGGGTAAAGACTCCCCCAGAAGGCTGTTGAGTGTGAAGGTCCATACCTTTCTATTTGTACAAGGGGCTAAAGCATTTATTCAACACATCCATGTCAGTTGAGTATTTCCTAAGCAGGAACCACTGTGTTTTCTCCCTGCCTACTCAAGCTGACAATGTCAGTCCAGCATCTGCATGGTTTGTATTCAGTGAAGATATTCTTGTCCTTGGCTGTCGTTACTTATTGGAAACCCCATTTCTGTACAAGTTTTTACACCAGATGTGGAAATACTTGACGGAATCGATTTGGTAGCACACAAATAAGCATGGAAGACACTCCCCGTGAACGTTTGAGAGGTTGGTCCTGCCGCCGCGGGAGCGGGACCCACGTGGAGGAGAGGTCTGGTCCTGCTCTTGGGAGGGAGATTTGGCCGGAGTTAGGCATCAGAGATGTCTGCAGGGGTGGGCTAGAGGCGATTTTAGGAAGAAATTCTTCACGGAAAGAGTGGTCAGAAACTGGAATAGAGTGCCGAGGGAGGTGGTTGAGTCTCCATCCCTGGATGTGTTAAAGTGTTGTTTAGATGTGGTGTTGGGTGATATGGTTTAGGGGTGAACTTGTGGTGTACGGTTAATGGTTGGACTCGATGATCCCAAGGGTCTTTTCCAACCTGAATTGTTCTGTGATTCTATGATTCTATGATAGGAATGAGCAAAGGGATTAGAAGAAAGGAAAGGAACTGCTGCTCTCAGAAGCAGCATTTGTTGTCCACACTGTGTCGTGAGTGTGGAGGAAGCCGTGCCCTGCTCATGGTGTGGTTTTTGGATTTGGTGTTTTTTTTTCTCTTTCATTGCTCAGTTTGGAAAATATTTACAGATGAAGGGAAAAGTTTTGCTAATGAACAGGCAGAGAAATGAGTTTTACTCACTGTTGCCAGTTGGCTGAATGACAGGCCCCAAACCATGAGAGCTGGCTGCAGGCCAGGGTTTGGGTTTTTCTTGGTAATTGCTGTGGTCCTTACCCACCTCTGACAGCAGCTTCTTTCCAGGCCAGTCAGCATTCCTGTTTGCTAAGGAGAGTGTTTTTCAGGGATGTCATCCACAGTAGAAACAAACTTCTCATTTTTTTAAATTTTTTTTTTAAACAGAATAATTGACTGATTCAAATGAATTAGCCCCAACTTTGTGAGTTAGACTTATTGCTGTGGCATTGTATTTTCCATGTGTCCCTGCACCCAGAGCCATGTCCTAACCTTTATTTCAGCCGCTCTCCCAACTCCTCCTTCATCTAAACAGGCAAAGTGGAATTTTCAGTTTAGTGCTTCATCTCTGCTGCCCGCAGTCTCTGCGCCATGTAGCACCAATTTTTTTTAAAATTGCATGAATAATGGACAGTCAGTGATACAACAAATTTATCCTTGTTTTCTCACTATGTAGCAGATCCCAAATTTCCTCCTACCAGTGATTTTTCTCCTCCAGTTTCCAGCGTGCTAAAGTTGCCTGAACAATCCCAAGCTGTAGCTGCGAGCCAGCGCGTTGCTCCCCTTCCTGGGCTGGATTTGCAGACCAGCAGTTGCTGGGGCCCATTTCTTTATGCAGGTTCTGAGGGCACACGTGGAAGTTTTGGGGCTTTTTTAAAGTACTTTTATGGAAGTACTAACTTGAAAACAAAAGATGTTACAAACAAAGCCTCACAAAGGCTTCAGAGAACTCAGAGATGCTGAATAGGCTGAAAAAAAAAGTTAATAAACATCCAGATGATAAGTATTGCGTTTGGATTTGTGCTTTATACACACATTAAAACTTGAAAGGAAAAAAGGGATGATGATATTGTTGCTAAGAGAGTACAAGAGATGAATGTGTGCCCTGGACTAACAACTCAGGGAAGACAACATCATCCTGAGGGAAAATTACCATTATTAACACAGGCTCTGGCTCCCAGAAATGGTGAAATCTTTACTCGCCTTATACATTGTGAAGGGGGAGAAAAAAATCCTTTCTAAATGTCTTGCTTATTAAGCCAGTCATGCATTTCACTGTAGGTTGTAAAGCAGTATAACATGCACTGGGGGCTCATAAGCATATTTTAGTGTTAGGGAATATCATTTATACAGTTTTTATATTGTCAATATTACCCCTAGAGAATGAGATTAGGCTTTAAACTACTGTAAATCTATGCTTTTGCTCACCTTTGTATAATTTCATTTTTTAATAGAATGAAGCCCACATAAATGAATATTTGATTAAGGGATAAACCTAATAAAAGAATACATTTATTGCACACAGATTTATTCAAATCTTTGCCATATAATACAGTAAAATGCTATAAAATGGTGTGTACCTTGCAGTCGGCTACACTGAGGGGGTGGTGAATATCCTTCAAAAAGATGAATTTGACAACATTGCATTGTCTTTCACGTATAAGCAGTAGCACAGATGCTCCCAACACTTGAATTCCTCATAGGTGGGTGCTGCGTGATGTTGTGCATGCCATGGAGTTAAGTTTGTTGCACGGCCACTTTTTTTTTTTTTTTTTCCCCATTTCTGGAGAATAATTGAGCGCTCTAGAAAAAAGGAAATATTTAACTCCTGCGTGGCTGCACTGTGCCTGAGCTTTAGCATTTACTCTCTTACAGGAATCCCAGACACCTCCATTGAGCTTACTTTGAGAAGTAAAGGGAATAGGAACGGAAAATTGAAACCTGTTTCAGAGTTTAAATAGCCGGACCTTCAGCCTGCAGTACCGTCAGAGACCTTAGTTTGAAAAATATTTGAAAAAAATAAACCCTAAACTCTGTCCGTACACATATCAGGCATCGACCACATATCTGCTTAGCCCCTCCCCATCCATTTGCCCCACGAAATTTAAGGCAATATTTTTAATCAGCCAAAGGCCTGAAATTAATTTTAGGCATTTCTTTGGAGGTTCCCATGCTCCCAAAGGTTCCTCCGGAGATGTTGTGTCCCTGGCTCTTCCG